TGATTCTATGATTCTATGACCCAAAAAACCTGTAGGCAGACCTAAGTGAAAGTGACCTTCTTATGAGAATTACCCCCAACCTTCTTCTTTTCTTACTCCAGGTGAAACAAAGTAAATGAAAATACTTTGGAAATTCATTTTATAAGGAATTTCCAAGGCAAGTAAAGTATTTTATTTCACTTGAACTGCTGTGAATCTAAACAATTTTAGTAAGTACAATTAAAAAGGTTCCTATTTGCACATACTGCTATTATCAAAGTTTTTTTCCCCCAAAGCAAAGTATCATTGAGATTGGTATGTTTTCCTCCACTTAAGTTTAATGAAAGCATTACTTTAGTTAGATCCTCTTTCAAGGGAAACTTGGAAGGTATCAAAATGCTACCTAAAATGCTACCTAGCAGAAAATCCAGCATAAGTACTGCTACTTTTGCAGTCCTTTAGAGGTTCTTCTCCTAAATAAATAATACTTAGATTTACAGTGTCTGCCTGGTGGCTAGTCACAAGCATCTTTCATCCCAGAGACAAAGAAACGAAAGTATCTGATCTTGAGTTAAATGTATTCGAACACTCCCCTCCCTGGCTCCTGGCTTCTGAGACAAGAAAACAACTTAGCTGTTGTAGCTTTGCCACCTCATCATCACTGGTGGGGAAGGGGCATATCCATCTTCATGATCTCTGTTTCCCTAATCATGCAAATGAATTTGTATCTTGGCACTGGAACTGGACTATTCCCCTAAGTTCTTAGCTGGTTGTCATTAAAATTTATTGGAGTTATGTCATTGGTTTCAATAGGATTGAGACCATGCATTAAATTCTTCTTCCCTTCTTCCCACCCCATCCCTCATCTGCCAGCAAGCGTTACAGACAAGCAATGAACAGGAACTGGGAAGTTTGGGTATGACCATTATCTTTAGGAAAGACTAATGATTTGTATCTATATATTCAAAGGAAACCATGTCACATGAACAGATCCAACCCTTGTTGATTTCAGCAGAAATTATGTACCTAAATACCTCTGACCATCTTTTCCTCAGATTTAATTCAACAGCAATCATATGTATCACTGACAGCTGATGGTAACATCCAGGATGTGCTCTTCATGTCTCTTGTGCTTCCTCCCTAATGTCCTTAAACAAGTACACAAACTGTAAAGAATGCAAGAATTTACACTTACACGTCACTTTGTGTTGTATAGATATGATCAAATAGGGACTCTATGGCCATCCATTTAACAGGTATCCGACCCTATGAGGAAAAAAAAAAAAGCAGCAATGCAATTACTGGTCAGAAAATTAAGTTTCCAAGTGGAAAACCAAGATATTTATCTCCAAAACTGTAACAGATGCTCTATCCATACTCTAATGCTTTCCAATGGACTGAATGATTTGGCATTTCATAAGAAAAACAGTGAGAAGAACAATTGCAAGAGCTTTTAAAACCACTCATTCATTTCATTCCACACATTAAGTAATCTAATTATGTACAATAAAGTGTTGTGTCTTTTTTTTTTCCAGATGGCCACTATTTTCAGTGAGATACACCCAACTCTTAACAAAAAGCTTCATCAAAAGAGTCATATCCTTCAAACATGAATATCTGTCTTCTAACATGATATACACCCTTGCTTTGGGGAAATCTCCAAAGGCAAAAGTGACGGGGAATTATGATTAAAGAAAAAGAACTCATTTATATCAGGGATGATGCATAAATGTCAGCACGTAGATGTTAAGATACCTCTGGTTTCAGAACTGTACCTGGACAGTCACATTCAGTTACTGGATACTAAACTGAACTTACAGGTTGCTACTTTCCACTGTCAGAAATTCACTGATAATATTTGAGATTTTCATGAATATCTGGGGCAGGTTTCTAGCTTTGCTAAATTTCCAGGATGTTTCATAACCTTCACAGGATCACTAGCATTCATATGCCGTACTTCTTGTTCTCATGAAATGCAGATATATATATATATATGCAACAACTGTTTTAGTAGGATTTGAAACTTGTCAAATTTGTCTTTTCCCTGTTTCCCTATGCAAGCAGACAGATGCTTCTTAGGCTCTGAAGAATACGACAGCAATGAGCATCTCCAAAGCAAAGAAAATATCCATTCAGTCCATCAACACCCTGGCAAATAATATGAAACTGCCTTTATGCAAATGTATCATTCTTAAAATACAGAGCAACTGATGTAGACCAGTGTAAAACACCAACGTGAGAAGATAGCTAAATGAATGTGGCACAGCCCTTTTATATACGATCACGTCTTCCAGAAGGTGTGGCTTTTTCCTTCAAAACTTATTTTGACTTATGAAACATTCACACAAACTGGCCTGAAAAAACAGGCAAAGCTATACTGAAAATTCACAGTATTTACAGAAATCTTTTCATAAAATTCTAAAATTTTCACACGCAAAAAAACCTGTTGGCAGCTCATTCATATTAAGTCAGAGAGGGAACTGAACCAACACGACTCATCAACGAGTCAACAGAAAGTAGTGTTCGTGAACGTCAGAGTCTGGGCCTGGGATTGACTTGTAAAAGTTCTGCTGAAGTCAGTGACGGATGCAAACAGGCAGAAAGCAGGATTTGGCTTGCTGTATTTGACAGTATTTTTTTTGAAGAATAAATCAATGACAAGCCTTATCTTGTCTCAGAGTTACTATGTTCAAGCGTTTCTTTTCAGGGAAGTGGTGCCGTGACCCAACAGCTTGTCTTTCTACGAGATCTCGGTCGCAGAGCCCTACAGGTGAAGCATTATGTGTGCTGATCCTGCCGTGAGCGCTGCAAGCAGGCAGAACTGTATCTAGGCACTGACGATAATTTACTGTGGCAGGCAGAATAGAATGGCTTCAAATAACCTCTGGCAGGTAGCATTAGCAGCTAATCTACCCCAACCTGTGATGTACCAGTTTGATTAAGATTTGGTATTTTTACTAAATTAGGAAGTATTTGTAGGAGGCCCTTGCTTCTGGTCTTCTGCACAGATGTGATAATTCCTGAAATTAGGATCTTTATAGAAATTGTCTGCATTTTTTTAAACTCCTTGGGATTTTTTTGTTCATATTTTTAATTACAAATAGGAAGAGACAAAGAAAAATAATGGGGGTTTTGTGCTTTCAAGCAGTGTGGTGAGGAACTGGATAAACGAGAGGGCCCACCTCATTTAAAAATGGGCTGCCCCCTACCTGTAAAAGGGTTAATGGCTGAAAGCTCCTGCACTGAAATTAGGTATCATTCTTCTGTATTTACATTAACAAAACACATGCTATTTTTAAGCATCCTGTGTGGAGTCTCTAGCCTTAAGAAAAAGAAATAAATTATTACAGACTATTTGTCACATCGCTTTTAAAAACCAGCGGACCTCATCCTACTCTTTACATTTTGGTCTGCAACTTTTCACAGGATCACAGAACCGCTGGGCTGGGCAGGCACCTCACCCCTCTGCTCAGAGCCAGGTCAGCCTCAGCAAGTTTCTTGAGACCATTTCAAGCCCGACTAGATATTCTCTGGGCAGCCTGTCCCAGTGTTTGATCACTGTTATAGTAAAAAAAATCTTTTTTATTCCCCTTTAAATGAATTTTCTCATATTTCAAGTAGTGCGCATTGTCTCTTGTCCTGCCACACTGAGAAAAGCCTGGCTCCTTTGGCTTTATTCCCTCCAATCAGGTATTTACACACATCAAGAAGATCCCCCTGAGCCCTCTTTTCTCCAGGCTAAACAAACCCAGCTCTATCAGCTTCTCCTTGCATGTCAGATGCTCCAAGGCCTTAAACACCATAGTGACCCTTCTTTTACTTTTATTAACTTCTACATATTACAAATAAATCTGTTTTATTGATAAGTCAAAAAAAACCCAAAGAGATGGAGGAGGTTATGGCGACTTTTTTTTTTTATGCATATATATATAGATTACCATCCTACTGATTAAGCTCATCATTTTGCTTCATCTTCATTTTTATTTATTTGAAATAAAGAATTATTTTAAGTTAATTAAAAAAATAGCTATTAGAATTTTATTCTGTGCTCAGGTCCTGCAGTATAAATTCACTCTCTTGACTAGGTAATAATTCCCACTACTGTGTTTAATGTGCACTGTACCTTGCTCCTCTTGACATATGAATCTTCTTCATATACATCACGGGAGAGGCCAAAGTCAGAAATCTTCATTTTGCGCCCTTCTGCCACCAATACATTTCTGGCTGCTAAATCACGATGGACGAGCTTTTGGAAGAAACCAACAACAGTGTTTACGCTTCTTGTGGAGGAACCAGCTGCTGACATGTCCAGCTATCACAAGGACGTGCTCAGATCACTACTGCACTGCCCTACCTTCATTTCTGCAAGGTACTGCATTCCTCGCGATATCTGCCACGCAAACGAAATCAGATCGCCCATTGTTAAGGCTCTCTCATCAGGGTTATCCAAATAACTTGAATTTCTGTTGCCATCACTACCCACGTAGCTTGGTCCCACTTTTCGACTTTCCCTGAGAAAACTGCGCAAGGAGCCGTATTTAGCATATTCGACAATTAAATACAGTGGGCCTGCAATAAACCAACACACTGATAAGTAAATAAGTAATAGATATCCATTTAAACTTTTTTCTTTTCAAAAAAGTCTCTTATAATCAACACATTGTTTTAAACAGTCAGAGGCTCCAGCCACACCTGGCCTTTACGTAAAAAGTACTAAATCAGCCATGGAATCATAGACTACTTTTAGCTTACATCCTCTATGCAAAGTGAGTGAGTTTCAGCTGAAATCAAAGCAGAATTCAGGCTCTTGCCTATATTCCCTCATCTAGGTAATTTGAGACTAAGAAAAGAGACAGCCTGCTTACAAATCAGGTCTGTGAAACAACCTAACTTAAAGAAACTTAAAAAAAAAAATAAAATCAAAATACTTTTTTGGAGTGTGTGATAATGAGGTCACAAATCCTCTGCTAATTCCAGCGTTATATTTAAGGTGCCTTCTCAGAGCACTTAAAAACATTCTGACATTTCAATCCATTAGTTTCTCCTCCCCATTACCCACATAAATAATATCCACTCAGTGCTTTAATGCTAAATACATTTGTCTGCTCCATCAAAGCCCTCCCACCCCATACGCTAATGAATTAACTTGGTATTTATTAAAAGCCTGTGACTCAGAAATAATTCACTTCTTTTGGAATGAAAAAATACATTGTACTGAGAAGAAAAAAAAATCCCACCCGCTGGTTCATTACCTTGCTAAGACTCAGAGATGACTCAGTCCCGAATTATTTTCTCTGTCTACAACTAAAAGTGCCACTTGCAACAGAACTGGGTGGGCACAGGTGGCAGGCTTCTGCCCAAGGTTGCAACATGCATGCTGTGATTTTGGGCTGCATAATTAAAGATGCACAAGGAAGAGGATGTTGCCACGCAACTTCATTTAACACAGAGAGCAATTATTCAGACCAATCCCTATGCACAGCAATGAATATGTACTTCACTGGCAGTTTATAATACGTGTCTGAAAATTTTCCCCCTTGAAATATACCTTTCAATAACAGTAGCTTTCAGCAAGTATTTCACAACAAGAAGGAGAGAAAAGTTTTCTGACAGAGGAGAACTGAGTGTCAATCCAACTGTCCAGCTGTATTTTAACAAAAGGATCTACAGCTGGGGTTTTTTTGGTGGTTTGTTTTTTTTTTTTTTCCCCAAAAGGTGCATCTCAGTCCCTGGCTCAGGCCTTCAAAGTGTTGCTTTAGTATGATTAGTAACAACAATAATCAAAACCCCATTCAATTTTAACCCATATTTGAAAATGCTTACTAAGCATCAACATAATATAAAATTATATATTGACTGGAAAAGAAATGGTAGAAGATGGTTTAAATTTATCATAGCTTCAGAATCAAAATGTGTATTGAAAAAAAAAAACCAAACACAGGAAGAATGCTTAGTTACACTGAATTAGCATTTCCCCTTCCCTTCAAACATCACTTTTCTTAAAAGTCCCTCATTTTTTCAGCCAGCAGCAAATTTAAAAGGTGCTCAGCAATTACTAAGCAGTGGTCCAAACCCACCAACAAACTGCTTTTTATTTCCTTGTTTGACGTTTTCATCTCAGTAAGAAGCTTCTAATATTTACCATCTTGACTGCAGGCTCCATAAAGTTTGATGACATGAGGATGGTTGACCTGTTTCAAAAGGTTGAACTCTGAAAGCAGATCTCGCAGCTCACTCTGGGAAGCATTCTCTGCAGAAAGTGTCCAAACACACAGTTGTAGTTAGCATTACTCAACAGTTCTCTATGTACCATCTGAAATATGAGATCAACCATTTCTCCTAGGATTAGCAAGAGGTTGGAAAACTCCATACTTCCCCACAGAAGAGGTATTTCCCCATCTCCCCTTTCCTGCAGTCATTCAGAGGAGAACCAAGTGACTGGGACTGCTACTGTTCTGGCTTGGTAACCTGCTTTAATCATCATGCTGCCCTGACATAGATGACTACAGAGTAGTAGGTCAGCCAAGAATTAGAACCAGAGCCTGCAATGTCTTGAAGGTGCCATGAAATTATTACTGACCTTTTCTAGTGTTCTAAAGTAACTTCTTTAGTGTGAATCAGTGCAATCAAAGCTTCAGAAACATGCAAAAGCCAAGATATTATGTTGATCAAAGACAACGACTCAGCTCTTTTAATTCCCATGATACAGCCCTCTCCTCGTAAATAAATTTTCCAACAGAGTAAAAATCTGCTGTCTACTGACTTAAACTTGTAGCACGCATCCAGACTTAAAGTTCAGAAGCTATATGTACAGCTCAGATTCATTTTACTGGGAGATGTGTGCAGACTTCACTCATGTCAGTGGGAATCATATGACAATATATATCCCCTAGAGGCCTGCTTAGCCTTTCAAGCTTTTTTTTTTCCCAATTCTTCTAACAAACTTCCTCTTTGAATGCACTGGGGCTTGAAGGAGATCTTTAGTCATAAAGACACTGTAGGTCAGAGATAACCTGCTTTCTACCTCATCCTTAATCTCTGACACACAGAACCTCCCTGGATAGTTCCTACAGAGTGTTATTACTGGGCAGTTGACAAGTATGTGGTCACCTTTACTTAAGGCTAATAAAAAAAAAGCTCAGCTTCTGCACTTTGGTACCGTAGTGTATGTTTTTCCATTAAGAGTGTAAGCACCAAAGGATTTATTTACATATCTATTTAAAATACGTGCGCTAATAGTTTACCCTGATCATGATATTTTTTTATTCTATTCTACTGTATGTTTGTATCTGCCATATCTTATAGCCTGAACCTCCACTCAGACTTCACTCTTCTACCTCAGGGAGTGCAATATCAGATAGTCTCTCACTACTGACAGGGACTACCAAAAAATACGCATTTATTTAAAACAAAAATTAACAACGTCAACTTAATGCCTGTGAAAAAGTCCTATTTTTCTAGCTTTAGAACTGTGTAGCAAGTGGAAGAACAGGACAAAGTCTCCCTGTACTGTGCCTATTTGTCTGCTGGAAAAACTAACTTCAGTAGTGCACAAATGGAGAAAATTAGCTCTGAAAATTTATGCCCTTTGTTTTTACAAATTGCAAATAATGTCTGCTTATGTACTGGCTGGTGTTTTCCCCTTTACTTTTATTGTAAGGAGGGCATTTGTATCATGCAGTAGGTTAGATTTAATTCATATGAGAAAAGCAGTAACAATGGGCTGAAAAAATTATCCCTCTGTTCCTTTAAACCTCCATCCATAGCTCCAAGGCTATTTTGGCTCAACTAATTATTTACTGCTCCTCGTTCTCTTCTGAGTACACAACCCCACATTGACAGAGCATGGAGAGTCCTACTCTGGCCTGTCCCTGCCACAGATTGTGCCCATCTACACAGCTCAGGCAGGAGATAGCTGTTCTGCAATAAGCAGGAGGCTTTGCCCATTAACGTACTGGTATACACACCATTCCCTTTTAAAGCCTGGGGCCTAAGCCACAGAAAGATCAGGCAGTGTAGAATCTCTAATACCTGGACAAATCACCTCCTTTGCATCTGTTACAGGGAAGGAATGGGTGATGTTGGCCTGATCCAAAATAACTGTCCTTTATACTTCCTGACAGCGTTATAAAGACCACTGTGAACTAATGCAATCTTCCTTATACTTGAGTTGTCATGTGTTAACACTGAAGTTAAACCAGTAACAACAGACAAATATTTGCAGAATGACAAATGTTCTCCACAGTCAAGTTGGAAAATAGAATTTCAGGTGACTATCTGCAATATAATTTACATTACAAAGGGTTTCATCAGTGTTACTGTAAATGTCAGATCAATTTATTGAAATAAGGTGCTTAAAATAAAGGGTTACTCCTTTGCATTATCAATTATGTCAATTCTTTCCTCATAATAGCTAGGGAAAGCTGAATGTTAAATTATCTGCAAGTAAAAGCAACATGTGACACTAAGTGCACAAATAAATATGAAATGAAATCATTACTGACTTCTTTTGTATATATATTCTATATATAACCAGCACATAATGATACACAGGTCATTACTTAAGTAATGGTTAACTAGACTTCACTTCTGAAAAGAAGTGTTCCAAGAACTTTATTCTTAGATTTTCTCCACTGAACATCTTGCAATGCAGGCAAGCACTTCATAATGCCTTTTTTTTTTTTTTTTAAATAAAATAGTGGTATATGCAGCATCTTTGCTCTCAAGCAGCAGATGATACATTGGGGTTTTTTTCCAGTACAATTTCTTTTTCTATATGTGAAAGAAGCAGGTACATTTGGGGCTGAAAAATACAGAACAGAGATGGGAGCAAGAGCTCAAGGTCTCACATTATCATCTCAACATTATCTACGCACACTTTGTCTTCCCCTAGCTTTAGTCTTTGGGAAAACTGAAGACAACAGGAGCCTGGTCTATTCAATCCACTTTGGCAGAGGTCCTAGTAATTGTAAAGCTGATCAGAAAGTATAAAAGTAGATTAAATTCTCAATTAGAAAAGTAACTTGATAGGCCTATTATGTCTCTTAACATGATTATAACATCTTTTACTTAAAAGGCTTTGTCAAAGGAAACTGGGTAGAGGGGAAAAAAAAAAATCAGAAAGCTTTAACAAGCCCTTGCAATATTCCTATCAATGCCAAACACAATTAAATACATTTCCTATGTTAAGTCAGAGGCTTCTTGCACATCATAAATTAGAATTTGTGGAGATTACTTCCTTGGATCAATGTGATGCAAGCTCCAAAAGTAAGAAATCTGTCAGAATGTAACAGAATGCTGGAAATAGTAAAGGCTGTGACAATGGTTGGTTTTAACTGACCTTTTACGTTCATGCTAGGCCTCTGGAAATCCATTCAGAGGTTACAAAAAATAGTTTTCAAATCATTCCAGACCCCGATGGGAATGTACCTTTCAGCATTTTCACTGCCACAGTGGTATAGCCAGCCCTTCCCTTGAGTCGGAATGCTGTTGCCTTGACAACCTTTCCAAATTCTCCTTCTCCAAGAGTCTTGCCCAGAACCAGGTTCTTCCGAGGGAATTCCCACTTTGGATCTTCCTGTAGGAAAGAAAAGGAACCCTATAAGGTGAAGCAAGAGAAGATGTGGCTAGCTACACCTGAAGCATTTCTGTTCAATAGGAGACCATTCTTCAGGAATAGGTACACTTTGGTGTGCAAGGTTTGGTTGCTCTTTTTATCAGCGTATTCCTATAAAAGCTTCTGAATCCCTAAGTATTTTGAAAGTGTTTTTTTCCATTGCCTTGAAATCACCTACTTCAAACCAGGCCATACACATAATCTATGAATAACGACTTATATTTACAGGTCTGGGAAATTGGATACAAATGAAAAATGAAGTGATACAGGATAAATGTTTGCTTTAAGAATAACTATGAGTACATGACCTTGGACTTCAGAGAGAAGCAAATCAGTTTTACTCACAAAATAAGGCTTTCCTCTTAAGAATTAATCAGAGACAACAATCCTCCTCTTACAAAATCAGTCTTATTAAGCCTTACAGCTGCAAAATGATGACAAATGTACAAACCAGACAAGAAATTAAAGCAAACTGAACACAAGGTCTGTGAAGACCTCAGTTAGATTTGGTGTTGCCATATCATATGAAGTGGCAGTGTTTCTCCACCATGTCTGTCCATGAAAACACACCAGCTGGCTGGCTGGCATCCTGGAGAGTATGCGATTCAACACGGAGAAAGCTACATTAAAGGTATGATAGTGTGACTGGGCAAAAATCCTTAAAACATGGCTAAAACTCACACTCCAACTGACCTACCCACAGCCTGTTTTGTTTTAAACCTACCTTTGTTGTGATACTAGGGCTCATCACAGAGGCTAAAAACCTACTGATTATTACTGTTTAATTGGACAAAGGAAAACCACACCACTGGCAAGAGAGTTATATTTAGAAAAAAACTTTGGCTCAAATTAGGCTTAAGATGTTACATTATAGTAAATCATAACAAAAAATAAAAGAAGATATGTTTTATCCCATTACTTATTAAGTATCTTCAGTTCCCTGCCAGTACATATGGTTTCTGGTTTAGTTGCCTGAATTATATTTCTATGAACAGACTGCATTTCTGTAACATTTTCTGCATGCATAAACAACATGATTTAGAAACAAGACAGACAGAAGAAGAGCGTGAAAAATCACATCAGACTTACTGGTATTTTAAAGGTGTCTACAGACACCTGGTTCTCCATGGAATCTAAGGAAGGCCGGCGGACATTAGTGGAAGAATAACTGATGGGGTAGGACGGGGCTGGGCGCCGGAATGTCATTTCTGCAGAGGCAATAGGTGGCTTTGGAGAATTCTTGTGATATCGATGGATGAAATAGGAAGAAAGGAGCACGGAGATGATGAAGGACAGCAGCACTGCCCCTGCTATCACAGTCTTGCACACTTCATCACATAGTTGCTCTGTGGACCAAGAAGAGCTGCTTAGAACTCTGCTTGTTGTCACCTACTTCTGATTTAGCAGTGCACATCACACACACACAGGTGTGACATAAACTGAACTCAAATTCATTTAATAACCTAGAGGAAAAGCTAATAGCTAATTCCCACTAATTCCTTTTTTATTTTGGACACCAGCAGATAATTGTTTGCCTAACTACCTATGTAAATATAAAGATAGATAGGTTGACCCCATATTCCTTATCTTTATAAATGTAGGCTACTCCCGACACTCTTTAAGACCCAGCCTACCATATGTTGATCTTCTGCTACCACTTATCCTTCTGGAGACCCATGACTGAAATTTGCTTGTGGACAGCAGTTTATGTTAGAGCCATTCAGCCCATCCAATACAGTCTTCTTCAAATGTGAATTTAATAATTAATGTCAATTTTTAGCCATTAAAGGACATTACTCTTCTACCGTTTTAGATTATAAGAAGACTTGGAATATTTCTGCTTTATATTTAACAGAATTATTTCTGTAAACATTGCCTAATGCTGCAGCTGCTTCTAAAGTAACATCCAGTTTTCCTCCACATTTACGACTTCCTTTTTTGCAGAAGCACATTTAGTGTCTTTGGAAACTAAGTTTCTTTAAGCTTATGTGCCCCTAGACAGCATTCCTACAGAATCTCTTCTTGAAGAAACCAAGATCCAAAATACAGTACTTGCACTGTTGTTCATCAGATAATCTTGACTTCAGATACACAGTTAACTTAGCAACACCTGCAACCTGTACCCCAGAAAAAAGTGAAAACAGCACAATACCTTTCCAGAACTTAAAAAAAAAAAAAAAAGGCAAAGGCAAGCAGCTCTTTTTCTTCTTATGACTATGGAAAATTTACTTGAAAAAGCAAATTGAGATATATTCCAAACAATTCAGTTTTAAAGCTGCAAAACACTGTATTTATTTCACACTGTATTTATTATTAGCAATAATACGAATTATTTTTTAAAAAAAAAACCACAACCAAACCACACAGAACAGTATTTAATCCCCATCAATCTTTTCCAAACACCTGTGTAGAGCTTTTCTGTTTAAACAAAAGTCAATGAAAAAAGTAATCCACTCCTCTTAACACCATGGATGCTGGCTATCTCTGACATTCTGAAGCCGAGATTTTCAGAAATGATTATGAGGCTGGAATCACTTTGAAGTAATAGAAGTGGTTATTCTAATTCTCCTAGCCATCTTTGCAAATATCAGATGAGTCTCACTGAAATGCAAATGCTGCTGGAAATTGAAAGGACAACCAACCTGTTTGTCATATAGTAATGGATAAAAGAGAATTTTTATCCAATGACAGAAATAATCCCCCTCTGGAGATTTTTCAGGCTCCATAGTAGAAGTCAAGGTGCCAGTTCTTAATTAATTTTATTTTAGCAGTCTCTGACTAAAAGACGTTCCTTATTAACATGCCCAGAAGCTTATATTGTTGTATATATACAGATGGGAGATACAAACAGAGAAAAATATTTATATGAGAACAGCAGATAATGTTGAAACTTACCCTTGATATCATCTTTCTCACAATAACAGTTCTGTCTTGGGAAGCAGTAACAAATCCCATGTCCTGACTTAATTCCAAGATTTCCCGTGCCTTTCCCATGACCACCAATAATGTCTCCACCTAATCAAATACAGACACAAGCTAAAATTCTCACATGTAGTTAAAGAAGAAAAAAAAAAAAAGGCTCCAAATTTTCCATGGGATTATCCTAGTATGTACGTGAAATTTGTCAGGGCAGTACAGTGTGCAATGAAGACTGGGATTCCTGAAAATTAGGGTAGAATCTAAATTCTGAAACTTCTGAGATCCCAAAATGAGATGATCTTGGACTGGTTGAACATTAAACCTTGATTAGCAGTTATTCCTGTTATGGAAGGCTCTGGATTCAAATTTATCTGTAATAAGAACATAATGATTCTCTTTGCATTGCATAGGTGGGATACTTTCCCAGTTTCAGGTACCTCTTAAAACCTTATATAGAATCCCATTATTTAATGCCAAATATCTACCTCAAACAATCGTCTCTTGGCTGTCCTGACTGTTACCTCATAAAGCATTAGAGTTCTGTATCAATGAGGTCTTCTTACATTTTAAAATTCTCCCTAAAATATCTTCTCTAATGTACTTATTTTAGTTTCTCTCTACCACTGCCATGTGTTTTTTTATGCATGAGATGAGGTACAGTCCAGCGTTACAGACCAGCAGCCTACAGACTTTAGTTCCGTTCCTGGTTCTGATGCCAATTTCCTCTTGGAAAAGTCATCATACTGTCCTGAATAGCATTTGTTCCATTGTCAAATGGAGATGATAATAGTTAATCATGTCTGTAAAATGCCATGGGACAGTCTAGTGAAAGCACGAGAAGTGCCAAGTGTGATAAAAAAATGAATCTTTTGTTATCTAAAAAAGCATTGTTTAATATTAGGAAAAAAGTGCAGCAACTCATACAGAACTACTCTTGATTCCAAGCAGGAGTTCTTCATGCAGAGTGATTGCAACTATAATTCCAAGTAAATAGCATTTTTTCCTGCATATATTATAAATATAATATAGACAATATCTGTTGTGTTATTTTTCATCTATAAACTGCCTTTCATCACAAACAGCATTGTATAGACAGAAACCAATCAAGTTCTCCAAGTTTAGCTGTCTTTCAGAAAAATCGCCTAAACCATAAAGGGATTCAACAGATGAACAAGTTTTTTTCAATATAGTCTTTTTATTTCAACTCATTTTCCTCCATCCCATCTAAATTGACGTTAGAGTGCCGGCATGTTTCTTTTTCATTTCTTTGGTTGTGTAACATAAATTGAGGAAGAGGGTATTCTTTGGCAACATAAAGGCAAACAACCTTTTTTAGAAGAAGTGAAATGGGGACCTGACTATTGAAGCAAAATAGATTTTGACCATCCTTCTAGAGGCCACATCTACTAAACTCTATGCAGCTCAGCTGGTTGATTTTGGAAGAAACTGTCCTGAGACAGTGCTCTCTGAGCTGACACTTGTTGTTTGAAGAAGTGTCAGTGTCCCCAAAAATTCTTGATTATCCCCTCACCAGCCTACTTTATTGCGAATAGGTGATGAAATAAAGTTTCCATTCACCTCAGAAAAAGCACATATATTTGTCTATATCTGCCTATGTTTGAGGACCTGGAAGAAGGGAGAAGCAGGGGATGAGCAGACCCCATCTAAACTGTTCCTGAGTGAGGGGTTTGAAGACAAAGGTGTTTTAAACAGCAGGGAAAGGAGTAGTACATTTTCACTGCAGGTGTACACACTGGAAACATGGAGCTTCTATATGCATTCCAGGGACACAAAAATGTACTCTTCCACCAATGCATTGCCGGTAGGGGAATTCCAAGACTTATCAATATTGTTTTGAATTGTGTGGTGTTTCACATGCTTCTGTTTTAAAGGCTCTCCCTGCTTCAAGGTCATTTGGAAAAGGAAAAACCACAGCCCTATCCCACACTATGTAGAAACTCCAGAAATTCAGAAAGTGAAAACACTGGTGGTTGGACAAAACCAGAGGCAGTGTTTGACTACTGCTGAAAACAAAGACATACAACTTAGCACCGTAATTTTTTTCCATTGTCAGAAAGCCAAAGTTCAGAGGAACTACAAAGAGCAATTATTAGCAAACGTTTAGTCAGATTCACACACTGCAACCAGCCCTGAAGCAGTTACTGACTGCAAGAAAGTCTCTTCTTAGAATGCAATTAGGTTGCCTCTACTTGATAGGCCCAGCCACAGCACCAGTTGTTTCAGCTGAGTGCCCTTGGATGAAATATTCATAGTGTTAGTGTGAGAAAGCAATTTTGGGACTCAAGTACATAGCTATCATAATGATAGATGAATTATAAAAGTACTTTACCAACTGTCTGTGCTTAAGGAATATCCTTATCTCCTCGCATCTGGGGCTTTCTATTCATTGCTTACCATTCCCAAATAAATGTCCCCTGCCGGTAAAAGCTGATAGTAGTACTCCTGCACCTAGGAGCTCCCAAAACACACTCAATTTCATTGTCTCTAAATATACTGCTTTTTGGCACCAGCCCAGTTCTGAATTGCATCAAATCACGTATAAAATTATCCAACTCGTGCATTAAAAAGGCATATAGAACATCTTGAAACCTTGTCTTGCTTGCTTGCTTCTATTTTCTAGTAAGAAAGTATTTCTTTCAGGCTTCTGTTGAGCAAAACATCTGATGCTGCATATGTTGCACATTAAAAATTTTAGCACTGCAGCCTCTGGCACAAATATTTCCAGTTTGAGAATGACAACTGATTACTGTTATTACCAATAAAGTATTCTTTTCAGATGATTAGAGGAGTTACTTGCATTCACTTCAAGCATTTCTGCCACTTTAACGATTGTTTTTATGCATTCGAAGGAAATAATTATCTTTGCTATAAAACTAATTTACAATACACAATCACATTCTTGCATGTAAGAAATACAAAGATGCCTCTTTATGTATTTGTTTCATAGACGGACGTAAGTCCTAGCCCCTAAGAAAATGCTAGATCCTCTAAGACTACATTTTACAATGTAAACTTGGAGTATACAATGTCAGAGCCAGAAGAATTATTCAGAAATATCTGTGTCTGTATTCTTGATTTAGATACTGATAGATAAAAAGATCCACTTCAAAATTATCATCTCTTAGAAAAGTGAAATTGCTCAAGTACAATAAAATGTTTTTCTACCCTTTATATCTTCAGGGTGATTTGTGAACTGCAGGTATGAGCAGATATATGAGTAGAACATAGAAAGAAGTGTTCAATAAACCATACAAATGCATTTGAATTCTACCTTCATAAATGCTATTCATATGAATCTCTGCTTGTATCTTCAAACAGATAAGGCATTGGGCCACTTTGATGGTCACCTGTCAAATAAGGCAGGTGCATTTCCCCAAATGATCCTATGTAAGCACATTTATTTTAAATTTAAATTTGTTTCTTCTTATTTAAATGGGAGGGAGTTCAAATAGGCATGGGTTCTACCATACTGTGCTGAAGCTTGGAAATAGGACATGAACACGCTGAAAACCTACACATTTCAGTAAATACCTGCACTGAAAAACACGACCTGCAAATTAACAGGGGGAGCAGAATGAGCATTGCTGAGAAAACCTTATCTTCCATCACTGTCAGCCAACAGGTGTTGGCTGGCTGGCTTAAAAAAGAACAAGGAGCATGTAGACATGGCATCTGAGGACACAGTCTAGTGGGTAGGGTAGTATTGGGTTGACGGTTGGACTGGATGATCTAATAGGTCTTTTCCAACCTTAGCGATTCTGTGAGTCTGTGAACATTAGTCCACATAACCTTAAATCCTTTGTATGATTCAAATGCAGGTATGACAATGCAGAGATGGCAAACATGCTGAGCGTGCAGAGCGATCTGGGACCAAGAAAGTCAAACTTGAACAGCAATCAGCAGCGTCACAAAAAAGCCCATCCCAAAACATTTCCTTACTTGTGCAGTCTTGGGGGCAGACAGAGGGATCTTTGCTCTCAACTGCATCACACGTGCCATCCGGACAAGTCTTGATACTGGGGGTGCAGGTGGAATAGTTTGTGGTGATCCCTGTGAAGACAGAAACAGACAGCTCCACAAATAGCACGAGGCTTTGAAGGAAAGCTGATCACACCTTAGGGCATGCTGACACACCGAAGAACAGGTCACTTCTTTTTAAAATAAACACTTATGAATGTCTGTAAATACCATCCATTGAACTAACAGACAGACCAACAGCTAAAAGCAACTGGAAGGAATGTATTTTTCACTGTTTTCTGCTTTGTGTCTCTGACAGCCCTTTGGGTATGTCACTTGCAGTTACAGCGAGGATTGCTTGAAAAAGAGGTAGTTGACCATTTTGAGTGTGCAGAGTGGCTTTCACAACTCAGGATGTCTCTACACAATTTCACATGTATTTGAATGTGAAGTTACAAGTAGTTGAAGGGAATTTGTGATACTCATACCGTATGAAGGGATAAAGCATCAACACAAGCACTGCTCTGGAAGAGCCAACAGTACAGACCACAGAAAACAGAGACGCTGCTGTGTGCTCACGGACTGTCTGCTGGGACATGTCTGCTCAGAGAATCCTTCCAAGGAAGTATGTTCCAAACTCAATTCGTAATCGCAGAGATTATCCTGCAAGCCGCACATCACCTGTTCCGGTTACACTGGTGCAAAACCAATTCAACACCTTGCATTTTGTGTATCGTGTTTGACACCACCAGGGACAAGACCAAGAATGACCATTCCATCTTGACAGATTTTTCCCTCCCAGTGCATATTTTATTTGGGTATTATGATTAACCTTTTAGCCACAGCTGCTGTGTACGTTACAATACCATGTTATCCAGCCAAAATAAATCAGTTTATATCTACAGAAGTCAAATGCACAATTATGACTAACAGATCCTTGAATTCACACAACAGCAAGGTACCTTTTCCACTCCCCTGTCTCCACTGGCATCTTCCTGTTAGCACTCCCAGGCCACCACACTCTTCGCATTCAGCACGGTGCTTACTCACAGCGCAAGAGTCAGGGCAGTCCTCTTCTTTTAAAACTGTTGGAAAGAGCGTTTGCTGTCAGGTCAGGACAAGGGAGATGAATATGCAAGTAAGTCAGCTTAAATCAGATGGAAAACTCTGTTCTAGGTGTAGATAGGAAGAAAAGAAAGATGAAGAAAGGAGAGAAAGTCTGAGCTATCAGTAAACTTGAAAAGCAATTAAAGTCCAGATGTTTCTCTTCTGTGAAACAGAAAAACATGATGGCATAGTTATCTTTGCTTGACAGCACACTGTCAATGCCTGGGACTGTAGAAATGTTCTAACATATTGATAATAGAAAAATGGGAACTGTAGTACTTATAGCAACACAAAGCTTTTAATTAAGGGAATAGTAGTTGGGCTGCTGCAGTAGTAGTGTATTTCAGACAGCACAAGCATCTTGCAAAAAGCAAAGTCCACCGCGTGCTTTTGTTTCTTCTTCCTCAACTCGTTTGCTCTTGCCATAGGAGCCGTGATACGATACAACCGAAGGGAGGCAACTGTCAGGTGGAATTGTAAGGTTCTGCACGAAGTGTGATACGGTTTGGAGATAAATTACTACATTTCCAGTGTAATCCTGTCCTGCAGTGGCTGTTGCTGAATATTTCTAACATTCTGCCCTTATGAACTTCTCAGTAAAATAAAGTCAGTGCAATTGCTACATGAATGTTCAGCAAAACTGGGGGTTTTTTGAAGTAAAAATTGGATAGAGAAGTGGAGAGAAAGATGATTGAATACTTGGGCCAGAGATTTGTGGTTTCACATATGTATACTTTTTTTTCCTTCTATGGAAATATGTCAAATAGAAAATAAAGGTGTCACAGACAAACAAAAAAGTTCTTCTTAATCAGATGTCAGCAGGACCATTAGGAACTGCGTATGATACACCACTTTTCTGTGTATTAGCTCTTCAAACAAATACCTGCTACAGGCAGGGCTGAATCAGAACTCAAAACACAAACTTTGCACAAACACATTATCTTCTAGTTCAGGCTGATTTTCATTGTTAATGCTATCAGTTTATAGATCACCCTACTGATGCATCATCTAATACCAGTAACACTTGTAAATAGTGTTGATTGACTTAAGTACTTACGAGTTCCTTCCAATACAATGGTCAGGAGGGTTTTGGCATGTTTCCTGCTCTGCTTGTCCGTAGCTTGAATAGTATATTGTATTTCCTTGCATTCAGGTCTGCGTAGCACAGAGGAATCATTCACATAAAGGCTTCCGTATTTGTCTTCTCGGCCTTGAAGTATGCTGACAGGATAGCAGCTGACATTGAGGGACAGTAACTTGTAGGTGATGTTCACACCACGGAATTTCAGACAGTTTTCGATGCAGATTTTTCCTATCTAGGCTCAAACACCAACAAAGAAATCACAGACAACAGAAACAAAACTATACATAAAAGAACAATAAAAAAATATTCTATGCTTCCCAAAAATATCTGGAAAAAAATTGAGCATATTACACAGTCCAGAATTCAGCATTTAAATTGGGTTTACAGAATTGATATTTTACACTCAATGCAGTACGTGAATGCTTCAAATGTGATTTATTCTCAGTGAAAATGAAGTAAAGCATTGCCATTAACCTCAGGCCAACAGTGGAAATGCAAAAAGCCTTGACCCAGAGGCTCAGCGATATTTGGTGCCCACTGGTGGTGGTCAGCAGTGTTCAGTGAGAAGACGACCCTGTGACTGGGAAAGTCTGAGTTCAGTCCTGCTCTGTCCCAGGACGATCAGTGAGAAAAACTTGGGTTTTGCTTGAGAAAACAAACAGCTCAGTGTGAACAAAGCTGAGACTATTTTCAAATAGGATAGAAATAGAAATGCCTAATACATAATTTTCACAATATTACAGTCCAAAAGTTTCTGGCCAGCAGAGCTCTCTGAAAGCCTTAAAAGGAATAAGAACTTCATTGTTTCCCATTTGCAGTTTTTTATACATTTTTATCTAAAAATGAAAATATGTTGGTTTGCCATATTTTAACTTCTGCCTGTGAGAATATCTATGATAGAGCACTCTTCAGTCTGAAACAATTTATCTAGGAAGCACAGGAACGTAAAGCCCCATCTCCTTTCCAGCTCCTGTAGGAACTGGTCCAAAGCTCACTTTGTTTTTTCCATTCACAGGAGTGGGATTCGGATCAGGTCCAGAGGCATTGGCTTTCCTTGCAGGGGAAACCACAATGTGAAGGGTGGGGTGTTATTTAAGGGAACTCGTTGATGGATTCTTTTCAAATGCTGCAGTTGTGTTTTCAAGTAACACCACTGCTGGTAAAAGCATATCTGTACATCTTGGGTTTTAGCATTCTTATTAAAGAATGTAAAGAAAAAAACCCACGAAACAAGCTTTTGTACTAAGACCTCTTCCTATGAACCTCGAATATTTAAGTCAGAGAGGAAGATTTTGCAGTCCTAGAAGCATACTTTGTCATAGGATAGTCCTACTTCATCTAACTTATTCCTATTCACATCACCGACTGCTCTCTTGGCACCATTCGCTGGGGGTTTTTTGTTGGGGTTTTTTGGTGGCAGTATAACATACAAAGGCTATTAAAGCAATCAGAAGCTGGGCCATTTCTTCCAGGCTGTCTCCTCCCCACAGCATGCTGGGACTGGCAGGAAGAAAAAGAAGTAAAGACAAGACTTCAGCTGTTCATAAACCCTGTCTAGACACAAGGTCTAGACAAGTCCCTTACAGAACCACGTCATCTTTGCTTTGGTGCTGCACTGCAACTGGCAGTGTTTGCAGCTGCTTAGATGGTGTTTCTTTGATGCAGTAGGAGACCATAACCATGTTCCATGACATTAACTTTATAGACTAGATTAAACTGCCCTTTCTGCCTATTCTATCATAACTGCTTTTTCCAGGCACCTTTTTGTTCAACAGAAATTTCCTGCAAAAGGGGATGGAGAAGACAGCATATATTCCAAGTCTCTGCAGAACACACATTCCTTAGAGTAGTGCATGGGCCAGTTTTGCTTTTCTTGTATAATCCGAAGTGAAGCTAAAAATGCCCCCTCTCAAGAAATTTCTACAGAAAAGATGGGCTTTCTCTTTTTGACTGATTCCACCAAGAAAAGCTCAAGCTTGTAACTTTGCCCTACACTGCAGGTTCTGAAGACAGCACAGCTCTCAGAAGCAGCAGAGCACGGCCCCAAGGGAAGGAGGTAGAAGCAGCCCAGTTCTTCTTTCTCATGAGGAGAGTGAAAAATAGCCTGGTACTCAGGATTAACATCAACATACAGGGGAGGAAACTAGAAAGGTGCATTTTGCAACACAGTTAGCAAAATAGACTCTCAGTAGTTAACACAGAAAAACCATTGTCAGAAATAGGAACAGAAAAATCCATCTTTTGAGTTCCAGAGTTTAATAAAGTCTGGAAAATGATAATGTTCCACTTCACTGAATCCCAGGGACGTTCGGACACACAACCTCTCTCAAAATCTCAGCCGATGTTATTCATCATGTGTCTCAGTAAATGTCAATAGAGCTTTAAGTCCTTTGATAAGTTAAATGCCACTGGGCAAGCCTGTACCGTTAGGCCATGCTTCTGTTATTCAATTCATTTAGCTGCTCAAATAGACAAATGGCATCAGCCCAGCAGTTAATCATTTCTTCACGCTCTTGTGTTTTCCTTTGGGCAAGAGACAGTTCAGCCTTCATATTGATTTGGCCCAGTAGTTTTCCTCGCTGCTCTGGCACATCACAGCTAATTATGCAGACAACTTTAATTATGTGAAGTGCTGGGGACTAAGCTGCTTACATTGACTTGTGCTCCAAGCAGAGCACACTGTAAATTCAAACCTTGTCTCAGAAGCGGATGGCACTTTAACAGATAGAGAACACCATCTCCAGAGCCAGGATGAGTTTTGCGATTTGCTGGTCGAGAATCAGAACAAAATCTCTTTGTGAATTTGTGTTTAGGCAGCACAAAGAAAGATCTCTTCCCACAGACTTGCCGTTGTTCTTACCAGAAAAAGTCCTCCCTGCTACTACTGCCACCCAGTGAAACTGCACTGTTAGTGGGAAGTGCCGTTGACTCCAGAATCCTTAAAATACCCTTTTCAGGTGTTTGACCGTCCTGACAACATGCAAAACCAGCAACTTTAAACGTAAACTGGGTTGGAGTTTTTTTTGGTTTTGCATTCTGGAAATAGAAAACTATATACTTCCAAACTTCAAACAAAGGTGTTGAAGCAATCTAGGGTATGCACAGATAAACATGGTTTAACCAAGTTTAATTTAGAATTCATTCATTTGTTATATTATTGTATGCATACAACTATACATAATAATGGGTGTGTGTATATTAATTCATCCATACCTAACAGTTATGTTTCCACACTTTTTACAATTATATTCATGTAGTGTCATAAATACATACAGTTGGGGCCCATTTCTACATGCTAAGAGCTACACTACAAGTATCTTACGTACCTATGCTATGATTTCTTTTGGAGGGAAACCCACTGTTTTCACCCTATGTCCAGGCAAGAGTTTTTTTACACTGCTGAGAATAAAGCTTTCATGATCTGGTGCTGCAAAAAAACCAAACCTAGCATGAAAAATATTGTGGTCTGCACAAAAAGCAAAGAATATATTCTGAAGTTTCTAACAGACTGCAAATTTAAAAGTTGCAGCCACCAGGCATCACAAAATATCATAAAGAAGGAGCTTTTTGTAGGGGGCCAGCTGTGTGAGCACACTTGGTATCTTTCTCTTTTTTTAGGACATATAGGGCAGGCTACGGGTAAAATGTCCCTTGACAAAGCAGTAGCATTTTTATAGGTCGGGAAGGCCTATTCCGTACTCTCAAGCTATAGTGCACATCATCAGATTAAACATAAGGACATGCAATATATCTAACCTTCCTTTTTCTTTCTTTTTACAATTAGCCAGAGGCTTACAGATTAGTAAAACTGAATTCTTCCTTGGAAGTCTTCTAATGAATTGATTTTCTCTGCAATTGTGGTGACCATATTTTAGTCTCACTCCCCCCCTCTCTGCTACAAATACAGTGGCAGCTTTATAGCTTTATTAGCTAGGAGGTATACATTCCAGCAGCTCTCCCCACATGGCTCATTACTGATGTTTTTAATATTCACTTTCATAACATTAGTTATATTGAACTAGTTCCTTATTAATGAACATGTTCCATAGGAATTACATTGTAATTTTCACCTGATTAATGTCAACCTGTTAGAAAGTGTTTCTGGAAGGCATTATTAATGGGAATGGTAGTGATTAAGCTAAAATGAGGGTTAAATTAGGAAACATATTAATTACTAACCAGCCATTATCTAGAGAAAAGCCATTAACATACTGGAATATGTAGAGCTGGGACACATTTCTTTTTTTGCCCTTGATATTTTTCCAGTCATTTACACCTAGACCCCTCAGTGGTTGCAAGCCCTCCAGTCCAGAGAAATAACACGCGTTATTTCTCTCTATTAATACTTCCACGTGTTATTGTGCTCCTCCTCTGTTGTTATGTGATGGGAAAGCTAGCGTCCAGTCTACCTGCTATCCACTCCATCCAGCAACTATCGTATTGATAGCACTTATTTCATCAATTCTACTCAAAACAACTAAAACCAATGCTTTTAACGCATCTCGCCCCAGTGATCTACCTATTAAGCACTGTCTCTAGGAGAGAGTGAATGTATAATTAACACAGTTCTTACTTGTGCAAAGCGTTCAGCATTTCGGTTCACTGTAAACTGGTAAGTCATGTTTGGAAACTGAATGCTGACAGGGAGGATGGAGACATTGAAATGAAGCATCAGTGATCTTTCTGGGCCATGAAATTCTGTGTCATTCACCAGAACATCCAACTGGAAGGAACGATGCTCTGTGACTGAAATACTTTTATTCAGTACCAGTTCTGCAAAGGAGAAGATGAGTTTATTACCAACCCACGTTATCTGCAAATGTGTATTTTGATACAGCAACCCCAACAAAATTATCAAAACTATTCCTAACAGGAAACAGAAGGTGAGTTAAATATGGCAATTTGTTTCTACAGAGTTATGGTCTGTGCCATTCAAGATGTTCGGAGGTGTTCTCTTCTCAGCTACCTGCCACGCCAAGAACCCTACAATCAGAACCTCTTGCTTATCAGTATACACATCATTCCATGCACTTCCTATTCCACAGGTGCACAAACTCCATTTTTTCAGTATATGTTTAAAACACAGTGTTTGCTTAACTTGAAATTTCTCAGCTTTCTTTGGCTCAATATTTACAAAAAGCTGGGAGAAGTTCAAGAGCTCATTGATCAATTGCTAACAAGCAACTTCTCCTTTATTTGAAGGAAGAGACCTTACTGTACTCATGTTGGGTTCCCCTCACTTGGCTGCCATTTGGGCTGAAGTGGATTTCATCGAAGATGTGCTCTACCCGGAATGTTTCACTTATCCAGGGATCATCGGTAATGATGGTTCCTGTGTACTTCTTTCTGCTGCTTTCAAGGGGATAAATGGGTGTGGTGTCTGCATCGTATACAGTTAGCGTTGCAAGGACAGTTCCCTGGAAGGAAATAATAAATGACATTGCTAAATGACCTCAAGCTTTCTTGCTCTGATAACGTGTTTGGGGGCTTGAAATGTTGATCAAATAAGACCTTACAACTTACACCCAAGCTCACTTTCATTCACGTTTATTTAAAGCTTCATGTTACCACTATTTCACACCTATTTGGATCTAAAGATGACAGTGATGTCATATAATCATTTGCGTTTATGTCTAAAAAAGGTGCTAAACTTTTGAGGTAGGAAATGAGCGCACATGCACAGCTCTTTTTTTTTAAATCAGTGTTATTCTACAAAGCTACTGAAAAAAGCAGGTAAGTTAATATGCACACTTAAAAAACATATGAAACACATTCAGACAGGTCAAACTCATTACCCAAATGATAGAAGTGGCTTGAGTTGTCTGTCTTCTGCTTAGTCTGCTAGATTGCTGTTCTCTACTTGGACACTGAAGCCACAGGGTCTTTAAGATTTTAGTTAGTAATAATGTTGTTTGAATTCGTTTAGTTACTAGAAAAGACTGAAATTTCCAAATATGCCTTTTTTTTTTTCTACTGCAAAGTACCAGTGAAATTCACTATGTTCTGAACAGTTGGCAGGCATGTAATTTCAAAGAGACTATTTTCTTTTATAAAACAGTTTTATGAGACCTTCACTTTCTATCATCCAGAGCTAAATGAAACTCACGAATCCCAAAATTTCATCACAAATTTTCAAAAGTAAAAAGAAATTACTTTATGCCCTGACAAGTGTGATGTATTCACAGGTGTCTTGTCAAGACTTGTTCTAGTCGGGAGGTGGCAGCAAACTCCCAAAATCATTCTTTTTCCTTGCAGACAGAAATAGGAGCAAAATATACTTTGAAGGGAATTTGACTACAAAAAAAGAGGTTGTTATGAAACACAAGTCCTCTCACGAAAAAGGCATCTTTTAGGCCCCAAACGAAGAGCTTTTTCTATAGCGTTGACTTATAAAGGGTGGTTGTTCCATTCTGAAGAACCAAAGAGCCCACCTATGTGTTTCTCCACTGAAGCAAGGGGCACACACAAAGACACCCAGGGGTTCAGACCTCTTGAAAGACCACCGTGGCACGGTACGGGAAAAGTGGGAGGGCACCGTTAAAGCAAGATCCTCGCGCTCTCCGTAACAGCCTGACACTGGAAACTTTAACGCCTTTCTAGGTGCAGTGTTTGTCTGCAGAAGGCAAACACTTATCCCAACTTTCTGTTACTGGTACAGTGTCCTAATAAATGCTCTGGATGTAGTTATGATATCTCAGAGAGATCTGTGTGTATGGGAAGGATACACACAAACACTTGCTCCAACAACACTCAATTTTAGTCACCTGGGGGAAGCCACTCTGTAACAAATACTGAGCAGAGTTCAGTACGGGGAGATAGAGTGATCCTGACCAGAGTCTTCAGCAACCATCCATCCTGACCTCAGGAAATGCTCACTTTCCCCTACACCGTTTAATTCCTGACACAAACTCTTGTTCATCTGTGGTCTGAATAAGATATAATTCACTGGGAGGAAGAATTTCACATACTCAGCATTTTACAGTCACAGCTCTGAAGAGCACGGTGTTGTCATGGACTTGATGCCGAGTCCCATTACCCAGAGCATGGCATTTCCTAGTCATCCTGCCTCCACCCGCTGCGCTCCTACCTCTGGGGCCAGGAATAAAGGAGACTATTACCTCTTTCCTGTTGAACTCCACGACAGCATCTGCAGTATCAGTACCATTGGGAAGGAAGGGAGGAGAGTCATCTTCATCCAACACATTCACCAGGAAGGGCACCTCAACCTGCATTTCCCTGAAGCCCTCTCTCACGGTACATTTGGCAATCAGCTCGTATCTCTCTCTCTCTTCTCGATCTAGGCGCTGTGTCACACTCACGCCGGTGGTGTTCTCATTGTATCGAAAAGGCATACCTTCAGCTGAGAAACATAGCCACAGCATTAACAGGGACATTCACCTCCTGTTACAGGACTGTGATAGGTTTTATTCTGTAATACTGTTTTGCAATCTAAGCAAAATAAAAGGCAGACTCAGAAGAGAAGAAAGCTGTGGGCCTCTATAAGGGTAGGCAGAAAATATGGAATTGATGGGAAGATCCTACAGCCTAGAATCACAATTTAAAGCTCAGAATATTCCCAATCTGCTCTTGGCAGGTGCAAACTTTTAAATTCAATCTTTTCCTCATGGAAAGAGATGGTCCTCCTTCCCATCCTCTCTGCATATCTCAAAGGCAAAATCTCCAGGCTTAGGTCACATTGACAAGGCAATTTCCTTCATAGGATCAGTCTAGATCTGCTACACAAGAGATCTGAACACTGCAGCTGCCTATTGCCAGTAAGTGAGCGGTTGAGTTCCAGTTTTACCTGCCAGCAGTTTGTAGGAAATGCTGAGATTCTGACACAGATGAGGAACCAAGGGTAACTGGAGCTGATGAAACGTGCCAGGTGGTTTATTCTCCTTGATGTGAAAGGAGAGATCCATTTCTGTGAAGCAAAGCTGCCTTGCTGTCAGAGAACTGCAAGCTGGTGCAGTAGCATTGATCAAGGAGAGGAAAACTGTGGTGCGCATAGCAGAATCACATTCCTTCTCTTGGAAAGGGTGGGATGAAAGGAAGACATACAGCATCACCTTTGATAGTGGCATCCAGTTTCCTACAGCTTCACAGAAAAAAACCACCAGAAGAAATATTTTATAGAAGACAAGTCAATGCTTCTTTTACCCATTTTGTGCTCTAGTCCATCATTGCACAGAACAACCATTTGTAATCTTAATAACCCCAGTAAGCAAGAAAACCTGATACCACCAACTCTACTTTGTAGAACCTCAGAGATAGATATCAATGTTGTGACATTGACATAAAAGACAACGACAATAAAAAGGTGACTATCAGTAATCAGCTTTTTAATAGGACTGGGTTTTGGAGGGACTGCAGCAAAGTGGGGTGGCAGCAAAATGGCAACAGATAGTCAGGACAGACCCGCAGCATTCTGATAGTTACTAACTGTCATGTAAGTCACAGCATTCTGATAGTTTATACCAGTGGAGGACATATGTCATATTATTTACGTTCAGAGGACAAATTTCTTCATCATTTCAAAATATAAAGAGCTGGTCAAAATATAACATAGAAGTTAAAATCAACGTGTGGCATCTACTAATACACCCTCAAGCCTTAATTATTTTGATTACCTTGGTGTGACTACATACTGATTGATAGCATCTCCGTAACAGATCTAATTCACTTGAAAAGATGCTCTAGGTCACTTTGATCTATACGAACAAAACAAGACTCTCAAGTTCCGGATAGCTATTTGTAACTGAACAAAGAAAAATAGCTATCTGATATTCATAAACGCAGAGTGCCAAAAATGCAGCAAAAAAGGGTGAGATATCAAGGACTTAGCACTTCAAAATAAAGCAGCAAGTGTCTGAAGTTGAACATTTAAACATCAAGGCACTCAAGTCAAAGGGTAGTGTTGATATATGGCTCTTACAAACTCAAGACAGTTACTGCAGACTCTCCAAAAGCAGAATTTCTGTAACTGATCGCAGCGGTATGCCATTAACTCCTCACCCATTTCCTCCTCCACCATCTAATGATACCTAATTTCCTCATAGATCAAAATCACCAAAACCAATTTACTGCTAGAGCATAAAAGAAGGGGAAAAAATGGAGATAATTCATTACTGTCGTTCAATAGTAAGCTTCTCTAACAAAGCCAAATCTCAAGAGAGGGAGAGAGGTACACTTATCCATTTCTTCCAAGAGCTGTTTGGTGTTACATGAAAACGTACTTTGTGAATCCACAGTACCAAAAGTCAAGGCCCATTTATATACAAGTTTGAAATAATCAAACTGCCCTGTTCTGGGCACTAAGCACCCAGCATTAGCACAGTGGGATTAGCTTAATTTGCATCGGTAGATGGACACACTGCAAACCTCAATGTAAAGCTGTGACATACAGATGTAAAATGCTGAAAAAATTTCAAGTAATGCAACTTTCCCACCGTACTGGTGTCTACAGTGTGAGCAGCTGGATCTGTCCCAGGTCAGTGTTTGCTTTGGAATATGGCTCCCTGCATTTGCAGTGTGTTTTGCTGGGTCTACTTCCTTATTTTAAAAGGGCAGAAGCATTTTTTCCGAATTTGATGCTCACATGCTGATGGATAATCTCATGATGTGAATGTACTTGCCTTTAACAACAGATAATTCAACAAGATTGTCTTATACTTACACAGCATGTTAAAGTCCTCTCTATCCAGGCTTTTGCTGAGGTAGAGAAGTCCTGTTCTTTCTCTGATTTGAAACCAATGATTTTCATGGGATCTTGCTCGAGAAATGATGAGATTCTGGCACAGATGAAAGTGGGCCACTTCCCCGTGTGAATCCCTCATGGCATGGATGCGCAGGAGCGGCGTACCTGCTGGTTGATCGATGTAGACATTCTCCGAGTACTCTTTCCTGGGGAAGTAGAGACCAAAGGCAGCTGCAAAGGAAAGCACACAAAAGGAGAGGTGCTCTCAGTTTAAACCATTTTTGTACTGGCATTTTCTTAAGAGATGCATTTCCAAAGAACCAAAGGGTTCCTGCTCTAAGAATTAAATGAGCATTTAAAAAGTTGTGGAAAAAGGCAGATCCTCATATGGTGTAAATAAATATAGCTTTACTGCACTCAAGCCAGGGACGCAGCCACCAAAAATTTGGCCTATAGTTTGTTTAAGCTACAAAATCATCTGCTCTTTGAAAGCGAAACTGCTTTCCTGTAAACATGGCCTAGTTTAAGCAGAATGCTTAATGATGCTCTGCTTGCCAAAGTTCACTGATGTTCATATCTGGAGCTCTCAGCTCATCCATTATCTCACAAATTATATTCAAAGAAGGTAAAAACCTTTGATGGAATCATACACTTTAAAAGCCTAAACACACCCTGTGTTGAGAGAAAACACAGAAATGTACCAATGGCTTGCACACCTTCCCTTGGATTACATAAAACCTCTCTTTACATAGGAGTCCTTTTATGGCTCCCTCTCTTTCCAACAGGCTAGCATGGTACTTTTGGTACAGAAAATGGGCGTTTTTTAAATAAAATTGATATGAAAGCCTTATAAGTATTTTACATAAGACAGATAGGAAAGCTGAGAACTAACTTGCCTGGAGAGGGAAACATACATTTAATTTTAATATAATGGCCATGACTGACTCGTCGTTCTCTGATTTTATTCCCTGACTTCGCAGACATGTACATTTTGGTAGAGCTCAACTGCCTCTTGGTGCCTGTTTCTTCAGCTGATCTCATCTTACCAGCTCTCTGCAATGGCCTCTCTACCCCTTTCCAATGCTTCCCTTCCAATTCTATTGCTTGTAAATATAATCACAGTGGAATGCTTGGTAAGCAGGGAAGGTACGAAGTGATGTTCACTGCCCTCATGCACACTGAAACTCTGGAAGTGTCACTCTTGTACTTCACCCTCACTGACACATGCACCCAGACAAAAGAATGCTTGCATATTGCAGAATTTTGCATCATTTTATCTGACTTAAGAAGTAGTATGGTATATAAAAGTCTCACACATCTGCTGAACAAATGAAACCAATAACAATTTCCATATGTTATTCATGCAAGACTATCCTAGCTTATATCAAGGCAGATACAACTGGAAACAATGGTAACACAGCAGTAAAATTAGGGATATAATGCCAAAACATCTTCCAAATAGCATCAGGCTACAGCACATATTTATTTTTTATTATTATTGGATCCATACACTGTTCTACTGAACAGAGAGAACCGCAAACAAACTGTAAACAAGAGACCTCTAATTTCATTTGGAAATACCACAGAAACCACTCTACCTTGCAATGACTCATGACATCATCAGTATCCCTAGATGCAATTACATCCATGAGATTTACAGAGGCCCATTATTTTTTTTCTACATACACTTTGCAATATATGAATAAAGTGGTTAAGTAATACGGTAGGTGAATTCACTCCAAAGTGAGTAATTCAAAGGAAAGTCAACAGTAATATTTGAAAGATTTAGAAAAGCATTAACTCCTGATATTCCCTGCCTGGAAGAAAACTATTACTTCTGATTTTGGTGTTATCGCCATCTTTTTTGTAACCTAGACTGCTGGACATTTGTAATAAATATCAGGTTTTTTCCCAGTCCATCTGTCTGTCTTTTATGACGTGCAGGGAAACCTGGTGAATGTGCCTTGCTAGAAGTCCTAAGAAACTGGTTTGTTAACAAGAGAGATGAGGTGATATCCAAATAGCAAGTCCAGTCCTAGTGCAAGCAATGACATTTCATTAAGATAGTTTCTACAAAACCTTGATCCTATAATTATGAAAACTTCCTCACCAGAAATTCAACACTGCAAAATCAATGCTCAAGACCAAAAAATTACTTTTGACACACTGAAGCATATAATCAAGGCTTATATACAAGACTAGTGACAGGACAGAGGAATATTTCCTTATTTCCAAGACTGGGGTGAACAGTTCTAACATGAGCGATGCCGGGTGTTTAGCATCAGAAACGCATCACGCGGAGCAAGAACTGGCGCTCTCGCACAGATGTGAGATCACCTGCTGTAAAAGGAGCATATAGCAAATAGAGTATATCTAAACAGTATGGATGTGTAAAGTGTGAAATTGGAAGAGGGGTAAATTGGGTATTTTGAGTTGTAATTATTTATTTCCTTGATCTTAAACAAGTGTGTGTATCTTGCTTTGCTCTACAAATCTGACTGTACACTGCATGCTAGTATGTACGCAGTTGTGTTTAATGAGGCACATGAATAATTATGACAGACACATCCACTTAAGTGTCTGAAATTTTGCATACAACTACACCTCAGCATAGGTCAACATCCTGACTCAATTCCGCACTTGAATCAAAAAGTTAGTGTTTATGCTGCAGACTCTGAAATTCTTTGGCATGAGTTCACAGGGGCAGACTTCTCCATTCCCAGAAAAAAGGGGAAAAATACTGTAATATAAAGATTAGATTTCTCCATGGATAACAGAAATGCAAAACAATGCTTTGTATTTTGAAAAGAGAGGAGGATTCCATTATAAAGTAATTTAGAATTTGCATCACTAATTAACCAGAAATGTTTTTCACAAATATAAAAGCCACTTTAAGAAATTAGGAAAAGCTGCAATAAGAAATTTAAGTAGAAGTAGGACCTTTTTCTCCCTGATCCGAACCTAAAAGCTGATGAAACTAAATTTTATCTATCACAAGTGTTAGCTTTTAGTACATAGCATATTTCTTATTACGGGCAACAGCTAAGTAGAGTTTTAGATGACACCAGTGGATCTAAAATACATTCATGTTTTACTTAGAAACCCCATATTTCAAGTGAAATGGTTTCACTGTAGAAACCTAGATGGTAAACAAAAAAAATTGTGTATTTGATTTAGCCACGTAACAAGATTCACCCAAAGCTGCTGGTCTTGAAATACCTGGGATTTTGAAAAGTGGTTTGTGTGACACTAACTCCATTTCAAGCCCTGAAAGAGACGAGAGGTATGCAACAGACTGCCCAGGTCACAACCACACTCTGCATATAAATCTTTGGAGGCTGATTTTGAAGGAGACCTTTGAAGTAGAAATGTACCACCCACTTCTCTGAGCTCCATTCATTCCTTTAAGCCCTAGTAAGTTAAAACCAGATTCAATAAACCTACCATCTGGCAAGTATGCTGCAGGAGGAAGAGGTTCTAATCCTGGCCACAGTTCCTTGTGTCCTGAAAAAAAAAAAAAACCCCCAAAAAAGGCAATTTCCAAGGACTTGTGCAAGCTTCCTATGGAAGCCAGATGTAGTTTTTATTGAATCTGCCATTTAAATACAGAGGAATTGAGACGGTTATGCTCAAAACTGATGGTTGAAGTGCTTTTGCTTAGGAATTAAAAGCAGAGAAACATTTCACATTACAAGATCAAAATACGCTATGAAAAGGCTGTGCTCTGTAACATAAATGAGTAACAAACACAGAGAGACTTACTGGAATATTTTGTAAACTCTGAATTATTTTTTAGAGGATGCTTCAGCTCTCCTCTATTCTACAATCAGCGCAGAAAACATGGCAACCTCTGATGGATGAGCAATATTACATGATAATAGCATATCAGTAACATACAGAAGAGAAAAGTGATCACGTTTAAGCGGATGTAATGCTACTGACTAATAGCTCCTACAGGAAATAGACACAGTTATGACAGCAGTTTTCCAGTTCAGGGAGAGAAAGCAGATGAAATGGGAGTGGAGAAATGAGATTATATATACTTTGAAGCCTTCATGATTGCTTTTTGAAATAAGGCAATTTTTCACGTGGCTTCTTTCAGACATAAGTGGTTAAGTAAATAATGTGGATTTTTGATACAAATTTATTTTTTTGTAAAAAATTTTTAGTAGTAAAATTTATATATTTTTAGTGCTTTTTTGCTTAACACTGTCGACTACACTAGCATTGGTGGGCTACTCTTGATGAAAACTATTAGACTGACTAGCAGCCTTATACTCTTACCATCAACCATAATGAGCAAAACCATAATTTAACTTATTAGTCACAAAATGAAACAGCCTGAAACTTTTTATGAGTCAAGAGGCAGACTTTACTCTGTGTGTTGGGTTTGTGTGCCAGGGTTTGGGTAGCAGGCGTGGGACTAAAGGGGTGCCTTCTGTGAGAAGATGCTAGAAGCTTCCACAGCTCCAAATCAGACCCACCTCTGACCACAGCTGAGCGAATTAGCACCTCTATGATTAACATATTTAAAGGGGAAAAATAGTACTGGGGAACCCTCAGCGGAGAGAGGATTGGGATGTGGGAGAGCCAAGGTGGACACCCAAGTCAGTATCCAGGGAAGGCAGGGAGGAGGTAGCCAGAGTAGAGGTTCCCTGGCAGCTGTGGTGAGAGGGTTGGTTGTGCCCTGCAGCCGTGGAGGCTCAGGAGGGAGCAGAGACCCCCCTGTAGCCCAGAGAGGGCCCACACTGGAGGCAGGGGGAAGCCTGCAGGAGGCTGTGAACCAGGCTGCTCCTGAAGGACGGCACCCTGTGGGAGGGACCCACGCTGGAGCAGTTCATGAAGAACTGCAGCCCGTGGGAAGGACTCACGTTGGAGAAGTTCATGGAGGACTGTCTCCTGTGGGAGGGATCCCAGGCTGGAGCAGGGGCAGAGCGTGAGGAGTCCTCCCCTGAGCAGGAAGGAGGGGCAGAGACAATGTGCAATGGACTGATCACAACCCCCATTCCCTGTCCTCCTGTGTCGCTCATGGGGAGGGAGGAAAAGAAATTGGGAACAAAGCTGAGACAGGGAAGAAGGGAGGGGGTGAGAAGGAGGTGCTTTCAACATTCAGTTTTATCCTACTCATTTGATTGGGAACAAATTAAACTGATTTTTCTTCCCCAAGTGGAGTCTGTTCTGCCTGTGACCATAACTGATGAGTGATCCCTCCCTGTCCTTGCCTCAAATCCATGAGCCTTTCTTGATATTTTCTCCTCCCCATTCCACCAACGGGAGCAATGAGTGAACAGCCGTGTGGGACTGAGCTGCCAGTGTCACCTAAACCGCAACACTGTGAAAGTCATTCTCCCAAACAAGGTTTGCAACCATCTTTCAAGGTAAAATTGCAGACTTCAGAAAACATGTTTTGAAGCAAATACCCCAGTCATAAGATTTGCTCTGGAAAGGACATGCTTAGACAGCTGGGAAACCATCTCAGACCACACTGGAGATGGCAAGAAGAGAGGACAACCAGCAAATGGTGGGACCAGTGGTCAGGAGCATCCTGTCACCCTGGTGCACAAGGCAAAAAACCCATCCACAACAGTCTTTTCTGAAGTGGTGCAGGCAGTGAAGTGAAATGCAGCAACCAGCTCACTCTTGAACCTGAGATTGAGAACCTAAGACCTCAACCCACAGAAACAGTGAAAGCAAGGCACTGTTCACATTCAAGGTCCACCACCTAGCCAAACCATTTGCTCCAAGCTAAGCAAGCAGGTATCTTACACAGCTCACAGTGAAAACTCAGAGCTTAAATGACCATTTCTTGTTAAGTTACACCATGTCTTTGAACCCAAGGCCCAGTCTCAATTTAAAGTCTTCACATAACTGAAACCTAACATATCTCATTTTGGGTTTCATTACTCGTCATCCCAAAAATGTCGCTCTAGCCTTAATGTTTAGTACCGTTCCGCTTCTTTTCACCATGTCATGTTTTAAGTTACATCTTTTTCCACTAGATGAAAACCATCACAGATGTCACAGTGTCTGCTGAATGAACATGCATTTAAAAACACAAGCACTGGGATGTGTCTTTAAGAAAATTCAGTAAAACAGAAACGGAATGAGGGTTGTTTTTCATTCAGCAATATACACCTATATAACCCACACATCACAAAAGCTTCCCAAAGCTTGCCAGCATTTTGGAGGACAGCACAACAATTGACTAAGAACAGAACAAACCTCATGCAACCAAAATCCTTAATCAAATACCAACATGCATCTCCAAGAAAAGGGGTATGCTATTACCGCAATGATAGCCCCATCATTGTAACATACAGGATTTAATGATGTAATAGATGGACATGGGAGCCGCCTGTTAGTAACCCCCCATTTGTTGCACAGCATCAGATTTCAACAAGCAATTATCTGGCAAGGTGAGTTTTGTGTTCCTGAAATAATTACTTTTGATGAGTAGCCATTATGTTCCATTACTAATATTAATATACCTAATGTCTGGTTGATCAAACAATAAGAGCAACACACTTGTGTATTTTAAATTAAAGGACTTGTCCTCCTTAATGCCCTTCTAGCCCCTACAGAATTAAGAAATAAACTCGCCGACATAAACAAAAAAAAAATCAGTAATTTAGGAAAAAAACAACTGTCACGTAAGGGAAAGGTAGCATTAAACATCACAGCTAGATACAACGCTATGTGTACTGAACACCCTGCAAGGTATCCAAGACAATATCCATCATTTAACACAGGCTGATCCATCCCAAAAGAATAAAAGTGGGTTTGCCAGCATTTAGATGAATGTCTCCTCAGTCAGAGATGGCTTAACAGAGAGAACAATCTCCACATTACACAGGGAAACGCTCCAACCTTTCCTTCAATTCAGCAGCAGGACTGCAAATGAAGATCTCGCCGCTGCACTATCCATCATTGCACTGGGACTCATTTCAAAGGTAATCACCAAAGAAGAGCTATTTCCAATAGACCTGGCTGCACATCACCAGAGAACTAATATTCATCAGGGCAAAACATAACCACGGTTTAAACAAAGCGCCCTGAAAAGCTATAGGAACCTCTGAAAGGCACCCATCACCAAGGGTGGGCTCTGGAGCTCAGCTCATACCTGCAGCTCACAAGCTCCTTTTTTAAGCGAGGGATGAGTTTCAGTGCCAGGAACCACAGGCTGGGGAAGAGCTCGTGCCACGTAGACCCACTTACTCCTCAGCCGACCACGCCATCAGGGCACGGACAACCTGTCCCAGATGGGGACACAGCACCCATGGTGGAGGGACCCTCGGCCCGCTGTGCTCCCCTCTACATGCCAGCACAGCCAGGCACTAGGACGAGCCAGCCCCCCAGATGCCCTACGTGTGTAACCACCCCGCAGGGCAGACCGTTTCCTGCACAATGATTGAAAGTTTCTCCTGGTTTTACACAGAGAAGTCCAGTCAAATTCTGCCACCAGCTCACTAAGTTCAGGCTGCAGCATCACTGCCTGGGTATAACTCAAGTACACTTGAGAGTCACTAGAACAATGACAAATAGAAGAACTGACACGCACCTGACTAACCAGCAATCCATTAATGCGGCTGGGCAACATGACGTTATTTATTTTTAGATGTGTTATTTTTAAGTTGACCGTTACAGAAATTGTAACAGATGTGATATGACCCAGAGAACATAAGAAACTGTATTAAAGTCAAAATACCAGTTTTTTCATAAAACTGCTCATCTGGACCCTCTGTTAGAGCAGACTGGGGAAAGATCACCGTAGAGCTTCATACCAGAATTTTCTCAGTGTATGGTCAAACTTTATGGAGTTGGATAATTGCTAAGTTTCACCTGTTGTGTACATTTAAATGTAGCACAATTGTTAGAGTGTGATAGAATGAATTTCAATAACAGCAGTATCGGTGAGATACATCTGTTTTACAGAATATGATACTTCCAGAGGGAACAGGTCCTTAGCATAAGTGATGGTAAGTAGAAACAACACTTAACTGGAACATATTCCAGACCTGTTAAACTGGTCTGCCTTAAGTTAATTGCTTCTCTTGTGATTTTCCTCACTGTATTCCCATGCTTACATTGAAAACAAAAGCCTGAATTCTAGACTGAAAACACAGAAATTAAGTGCATACAAATATTATATACATATAAAAAAAGCTCAGCTGGCCACCTGTATTAACCTGCTAGAAAGGAAAATGAGAATGAAACCCACAACACATTAATAAGATAGACCTGGTAAAGCCAAAAGACGGATCAGAGAAAAAGAAATTTTGAACATAAGTTTTTAAAAAGTCAAGATCAAAAAACAGACACTAAAATGGTCAGAAAGAAAATATTTCAGTTGGATTTGCGAGAACTGTCAAGACTTTCATTTTAGCCTCAGTTCAAGACTGGCAAATCTGTGCAGCATGGTATCTACCAGAGAATGGGGCAATGGTTCTGCTAAAGCTCTACTGCCAGTCCGCTGATGCCTAGTTCAGGGTGAGGTCAAACCTGCGCCTACACTTCCTTTCAGAGCCTGTACTTCTAAGAAAGTTTCAAACTCACTTTTTAACTTCTGCAAATGCAAAAAAGGCCAGAAGCTTCCTTTCTCTTGCTCCCTTATGGTTTGTTCATTATGGCTTTTTTTTTACTTCAGCAAGAAGGCAAGTTTTTGATGCTTCATTGCTCTAAATGCCACTGTGTCTAAAACCTGAATGATCCCTCACAGAAATTAATGTGCACAGAAAGCTTCTGTAAGAAATTGCAAGGGTTTCTGCAAATGCCTCAGATCCCAATTCTGTCACTCCTCCTTATTGTGTGATTCCATACTTCACTATTAAAGTATGGCTTAATTGCTTGCAAATAACTGAAAGTAATCTTGCTCTATATGAGTACAGAGCTGAAATGTAAGACAAAAAAAACCCGTCTGACTATTGTACTGCAGCACAAATTACATTAATAAACTTTTAATAGAATTTATTTACATTTGAGTCAATTTAGGGTGTTTAAAAGGCAGCATAAAAATTGAGGATAACAATGTTTCATTTTTATACAACTCCAATTCGGCTCTGTGCCGGCAATTTACCATGCTCCTTACGTGTGTATTTCCAATGACCTCTCTGTATTTTGCTTTGACAACTAATCCTGAGTTTAAAAACAGCAGAGAAATGATCTTATAAAGAGCATTAACCCATGCTAGTAGTTGCAAAGTGTGAGGCTTCATTTTAGCATGTTTACAGTAGATGACAGGTAAAAACCTTCACTTAGAACCTGTGAAGATAGAGAGAATGTGTGCATACATATGATACATATGTATCAAGA